TTGTTTCCACCTAAAACTTAAGAATAAATGTTTAAAAAAATAATAAAAGCAATGATTTTTATAAATTCTAACCAAATAATCTCACTGCTATTTGTAAGAGAAAGACTATTCAAACCAGGGTTGAGGTGTAGCTCAGCGCTAGAGCACATGCTTAGCATGCAAGGCCCTGGTTCAATCCCCAGCACCAAAACCAAAATGAAAACTAGGTATTCAAACCATATATACAAAAATGTTCCTTGCAATTATGTAAAAAAAATGTAAATTTATTGGTTCTAACAACGTTTGGAAAATCCATGAACATTTTTAATGCGGTATGTGACAGTTCAATGACCACCCCCAAAACCATTTCCCACCTGTCCCGTTTCCATGCCAAGAGCCCCTGAATTTGTTATAAGGCACAACATGCCCAGTCATGAGATGAATCTTGCTGGTCTGAGGTCACCCCAGTCCTGTCCTGGTGAGAGGGTTTGAGAAGACTTTGCCTTTGGTGGCCCAACCTTGGGCTCTGAGTGAAGTCAGTTATAAGCAGACAACACGCATGGTGCTGGGAGGGGGAGTGGGCAGCTACTTTAGTAGCTTCTGAAACCAGGGGCATCAGGGACAGAGTCTGGAAATAGCCCCCCTGTGTTTAGAGAGAGTGAATTGGGACTAAATATTTTTTTTTAATATTTATTTTTTTTAGTTGGACACAATATCTTTATTTTATTCATTTGTTTTTATGTGGTGCTGAGGATTGAACTCAGGGCCTCGCACATGCGAGGCAAGCTCTCTACCGCTGAGCCACCACCCCAGCCCGGGACTAAATATTAAGTGATGAATGTACTAATAATTTTGTGTTAAGACAAAGTTTACTTAATCCTGGAACTACAGGGACTCAGATTAGGAAAAATTCAGGTGACAAGAATTCCTGTGTGTCCCACTTAGCATCCTTCCTCAGTCTGCCCTGGTGGGATATAACCAGCAACAGGAGGCGGGGACCATCCTAGAAGTTGACAGGATGTCTCAGACCCTAGTCCTCCTGGCTGGCAACCACGGCCTGGAAGGTAAGACGGCCTAAGTGGCGAAGTGCCGCCAGGGCCAGTCAGCTCCACTGGTCAGCACATTATGGTCAGCGCATCACGTGCTTTCTTTTAATTTCTACTTTCACTTTCCTTCTCGTCAGAGTTTTCTTTGGTTAACCCTATTTTTCCCTTAGATTCTGTCACTATAAGTCCACCAGTCAATACTTCCCAAGCTCCAATTTGAGCAAAACAATATGAATTCTCCAAGTGGGGAGTGAACACACCTGGCTGTGTGTTGTGTCTGAAAACACCAACAGGCCGCCTGGTGTGTGGCTCAGCAGGTAATGGCATCTCTGCATCCCACACCATGTCCAACAGCGGGCACAGAGCTGAGGCCATGTGGCGAACACACACACGATTCATAAAATTCCCATCCATCTGCTGAAGTCGGGCACAGCTTCAGAAGTTGAAATTACCTTGATGGGCTGAGTACTGGGAGAACATGGAAGTCGAAAGCACTGGGAGACTAGGTTCCCTGTGAGAGTCAAGCCACTCTGAAGGCTGCCCACAGACACACCCCTGGCCAGAATCTCAGAACTGGCTGATTTAGGGCCATTCACATTGTGGATCACTAATTATTAAAAATAGTGTGAAACCCTCTGGTGGCACTTAGTAAAGAGTGAAAACGAAGCAGATTAGCTCTGCGGTCCATCTTGTGAGAATCTGGAAGGACGCATGGCAAGATTTCACCAGCTCCTCCACCTTGTGCAAAGTGTGACCGCAAGCTTTGACTCTAAACTTCTAATACATAAAGTGTATGGCTGTTTTCACTTTTGGGGAAAAAATGTTCAGACACATCAGGGCTGGAGAAAAGGCAAAAAGCTAATGGTGCCCATGCCCTGGCCCCAGTGCACCCACCAGGCTTTTGTCCTGAGGGCTGGAATCCCATCTTGCCAGGCTGGCGGATGGCGGAGTCTCTGCATGAATGACGTTAAGAGGCAGCCCCTCCACCCATCTCGGGTCAGCAGCACCCTCCTATGAACTAAGTGGTGAAGAGCATGCATGTGGGTTTCAGGGCATCTCACTGAGGTGTTTGATGGTCTTTCTGGAATATTGCCCTATTCCAGTGGAGCAAGGCTGCCGTCACGGGTCCCTAGGCACCCACTCCTGCAGCCAAACCCTTTAAAAGGTCCTTCAGTGGCTTCCCGCTGTGTTCTGGGTATCAAACCTGTAAACTGACCTCAGAAAGCAGCACGGCAGCCTGTGGCCCTCCTTCCCAGGCCTCTGAGACCAGATTCCAGGGATATTTCCAAGGTATCAGTCTGTCTCTCTGTTGGGATGCACCCCAGGTGATCTGCAGGATTCCTGAGCAAGGACCTGCTCCTCCTGATGCCCCAGCACTGCTCTGGATGTGGGAAGGAATGACTTACTCAATATTCCAAAAGCACCACTTACATGGCATGTCCCACTTCAAGGTAGGGAATCGAGCCTGGTTAACCCAAGATTCCTGCCCTAGGTCCTATGGCCAAACACGAGGCACCACAGATGGACTCTGGCAGAGCACTGTCCCAATCCTGGACGTCCCACCCTTTCCCTACTCCACTAGAGGAAACAAGCTGGATCAAACAAACCAGATGTGAGCTACAAACCCTGGAATGAAGTACCACCCGGACTTCAGTGATATGATAGAAGATCTGTCTGCCTCTCTCCACTCAGCCCATCTCTATCCCCAGGTCTCATCTTCCCAAGGTTCCCATAGGGCATCAATAAACACCGGGGATGTGAGCACAGAGACAAGACCCTGGTTCTCGTGGGGACTAGCAAGTCAGATAATCACAACTGCACGTTCACTATGCTGGCTGGAGCTAGGAGGGACATAACCACAGACATAGACACACCACTCTATGCAAAGCCTTCAGGGAGGGAGTGCTGGACGTGCAGGCTGTGCTTCAAGAGCCCAGTGTTTTGAAAAGCAGCACACAAGCAGCCACCATCTTTGGATGCCAGGAGCCAGAGCCCCACTTGCAAGACTTCAGGCCATGTCATGTAGCCAAGATTCACTAACTCACTAACGTCCCCAAGGCCTTTTTTGTGGATTGAGTCTTGAAGTCATGATCCTCCTGCCTCAGCCTCCAGGAGTTGGAGGCATACACCACTGTGCCTGGCTTACTGGGGAGGTTTAAGTGGTGAGGCTTCAACCTTAAGGTTGAAGGTTGTTCTCACCACCAATGACTGACAACTGTGAATCTAAAATTGGCCTCAAGTTATGGCAATGGGCAGGATGACCACAGCCCCAAGGCCAGAAGCACAAGGACAGCTTGCTCCAAGCGTACACTGGCAACTCACCTAAGCTCAACCCTCCCTTGCCCACAGTCCTGACCTGATTTTACCAAAAACAACCCAGAAATTGTTCCTTAGTGGCATGTCAGCAGCCAGGAAACCAATCTTCTTTGCAAGTGGTTTATTTTGGGAAATCTTTGCTCTTTTCAGGACATTTTATGATTTAGAAAACCCAAAGTTCACTCGGGTTTGAAATTACCTTTTTCAAAACACATTTTAATAGTGAAAAACGCTCCATATTTTTCCCCGTTCAGACATGATACTTTTTAAGTTACTTTGTTCAAAGAAAACAATTACTAGTATTAACTGTGCAGTATAAAGCCTCCAACACTTTCTCCTTGGGTGCTGACTTCTTACAGCATGGGAGAACCCTTTCTGTTTGTCTCCACAGAACAGAATTGTACTCCACATACAGTAGACAATCTGCTGTGCGGCCGACCTGACTTTTCACAGAACCAAGATCTATGCTCACTATTCCTACAGCAAATACTAGAAATGACAGAAAATTCAGGCAAAGTAATATATTTTGCAACAATTTTCTTCCAATAAATGACTTATAAGTACTTTCCCACCACACACTGAACAGGTAAGCAGTGTCCAAATTTTAACTGTTACATGAGACAAAATGTCATAGATACTTGCATTTTATGTTACAAACGTGTCATTCCAATTATAGGAAAACTTTATTTCACAGGATGCTGACACCTGGTTCTGAACACAGCGTACACAGCAAATTGGATTTTTAAACCAATCTGTTCATGAAAGCTTATATAGTAACTACATTAAATCTTATTTTCACTAAAAAGTGATCATGTCTACCTTCTTCCAAGGTAGGATATTGTCTAAATATAATCAGACATTTAAGAACTTTGCAACTGGACTAGAATAAGCAGCTCTTAATGAGATTCCTAAATGGCATAGCAGTTTTGATGGACCAACTCCTCAGACAAGACAGATCTAATTTCTCTCTTCCCCAATTCATCTTTACACATGGGAACCATGCAAGATAAAGGCTCAATCTGATAAGGCTTCACATCCTACTGTGCATTCTGGTAGTGTTCTTGGCTACTGTTTTATTTACACTACCTGCAAGTATTCTTTGGGGTGATGGACACCAAAAGCTCTAGTGTCCTTCCCTTTAAACTATCTCTAAAAGTTTGGGAGTACTTGGAAAGCAGCAAGTAAACACGAAACATCTTCCGGGAGTACTGATTTTGGACATTAACACCAAGAAAAAAGGCAAAGTGAAATTCACACTCATTTCTAACAGAACTTCAAGTGGCCCAGCTTCTGAATGCTCATCTTCTTAAAAGGGGGTCAGTCACCTTTGCCATCAAGTAAAAGCAACCACCACCTTTTAAAATGTCTCTTTATGCTGACAGGTCTCCTGAGGTCTGAAGTTTTTCCCCAAGTGACCTTGTCTAGCCAGGATGAAGATGGGGCAGACATTGTGCTAGCCCAACTGCACCATCACTATTTACACCTCAATTCCTGACCAGTCACATCCAGTTTGTGTGATATGACTCAAACAGGCATAAAGGCAGACACAAAGATTTCAAGTTAAGTCACACAGCAATGACAGTTTAAGAACGAAGATGGCACAAGCTGCCCTACTCTATTAGTTCTGAGTGCTTATAAACAAGGGAGGAGTTCACTTGCTTAGATATTTGAAATACAACTTTATTCTGATTCTAAACGAAAAGGAATGGGAATGACAGTAACAAACAAGATTCACCACTGAATATTGTGATGTGACTGTAGCAGTCATATTCGAAACTCAAGAAGGAAACAACTGCGTTCCAAACAGCTAAATATGCAGGTCCAAAAAATGAAGGTATTTTTTTTAACTGCCACATTCGCTCCGAAGCCCATTCATCTCCTTCAGCATTCCACAAATGAAGCACATGTCTGCTTAGCTAGATTTTAGTAAAGTGGCACACACGCGGCACCGCTGACGTCACAGGACAGTTGCCTATAAAACTAGACTTCTGACGCCGGGCTCCAGCTTCATCTTCTCACAGGTCATCATCCTCATCTGGTAGAGCAGTTGTCTGAGCAACCTAGAAAAGAAATGGAGAAATCAAAACATTCCGGATTAAAACTGTCAGGATCCAAAACAAATCTAAGCATTAGCCACAATAAGAACGAGATACCTCTAAATCGTGCTCATACTGCGCCGCCAAAGCAGGGTCCATGACAACCTCTGGTGGGGCAAGAGCAGGCATGGCAACAAACTCCAAGTTAGGGTCTCCAATGAGCTTTCTAGCGAGCCAGAGGAAAGGCTTTTCAAAGTTGTAGTTACTTTTGGCTGAGATGTCATAGTACTATTTAAAACAAAGGAGAAACTTGTAAGAAACTCACCACTGAAACAATGCTCATTCATCCTGAGAACATCCAAGCTAACATTCTTTCACCCATAGTAATACAGCCGTCAACTCCTCCAATCTTATCTAACTTGTAAGTCCGTAAGTTGGTGCTAACATACCTGAAGATTCTTCTTTCGGTGGAAGACAATAGACTTTGCCTTCACTTTCCTGTCCTTAATGTCCACTTTGTTGCCACACAATACGATGGGGATGTTTTCACACACTCGTACCAGATCTCTATGCCAGTTAGGCACGTTCTTGTAAGTAACTCTTGATGTCACATCAAACATTATAATGGCACACTGGGCTGAAAAACATTTATGGCAATCAACACAATCCTAGTTTACCACACAAGCATGGAAGAACCACAAGACTAAAGTTCAATTAATTTTCATCAGCTCTGGGTTATCCCTATATACTCGATTTAAAAATCCCTTCTTCCAATGCTAAAAATGTAAATTTTAAGACACAATATTGGTTAAACTACTTCTTTATAAGAAAACATGAAAGACCAGCTTATTCAAACCATTCTTATATTTCCCCCTAAACACTTTGGGGATGATATGCCTCATCCCCAAAACGTATCAAAAGCAATTAGTGCTCGATCAGCACCCAGAGATCTGCCCGCCTTATTCTGAGAATAGGACCTAGAAATACACTCTCAAAAGGTCCTTGAGGGGCTTGATGTACTAGAGAACATCACGCTTTTGTTTCAAACACCCCAGGTCAGGCCGTCCGCTGACTCGCGGGGAGGCCGCAAGGCTTCCTAGACAAGGAACTGCAGGATGTCCCCGCTGAAGCAGTTCCTCGGCCCTGAGGGGGACGTTCTGTGTCTATCTGCTCGTGCACAAGGAAGGGAAGACATGGAAGGACCCCACCACATTTTCATCAAGGCAGGGAAATCCCAAAGGATACTTTTTAGCTGATGCCACAGTAAATCTTATAACAGCCTCTCCAGTTTCAAAATCGAGCACTAGGGAGCCACATGTAAAACTTGGTGCAGACAGACAGACCCCGGCTCCTCCGCACCGGGGCTACGGGGAAGGTCCCACGGCACCCGGGCAGCGCCACGGGCGCAGGGCTGCTGCCGCCCGCCCCGTCGTGAGCATGACACAGCACGCGCCAGCGCCCGGCCCGCACGCGCGCGGCCCACCTTGGATGTAGTAGCCGTCTCGCAGGCCGCCGAACTTCTCCTGGCCCGCCGTGTCCCAGACGTTGAACTTGATGGGTCCTCTGTTGGTGTGGAACACGAGCGGATGGACCTCCACGCCCAGGGTGGCTGCAAGGCAGGGCGGTCAGCGCGCGCTCCGGGCCCGCCGCCCCGCTCCCCGCGCGCGGCACCTACCTACGTACTTCTTCTCGAACTCGCCGGTCAGGTGGCGTTTCACGAACGTCGTCTTCCCGGTGCCGCCGTCGCCCACCAACACGAGCTGCGGAGACACGCGAGTGAGCCCCGCCCCGCCCCACCCCGCCCCCCGGGCCCGGGCGCCGCGGGGCTCGGTCGGCCGGTACGCACCTTGAACTGCACCTGCGGCTCCCCCTGCGCGGCCATCGCGGCGATCCTGCGGACAGCGGCACGTGGCCTTACAAAGGCGGCGGGGGCCGCGGCGGGCCCGGGGCCCCCGGAGGCCCGGCCCGCCACCCCAACGCCCCGCCGCGCCTCCCCGCCCGCCGCCGCCGCACCCCGGCCCGCCCGGCCCGTAGCCCGCCGCCCCGCACCCGGCCCCGCCGCTACCTTCCAGAAGCGTCTCCGCGCCCGTCCGACTGAGGCTGGAAAGATGGCGGAAGCGCGATTCAAATGCCGGAGACGCAGCCGACGCCGAGCGGAGGGCGGGGCCTCGCGGGGCGGGGCAACGGCGCCGCGCCCAATCACGCGGCTCGCGCGCGCGCACGCACGCACGCACGTACGGAACACCCGGCTCAAGCGGTCGCCGCTGCCGGCTAGCGCTCAAGCGGCTGTGGGTCACGTGGAGGGGCTGAGGCAGGCGCGCACGCGCGCGCGGTGCCGCGCCCGCCGGCTTGGAGGGCGGGCTCTCGGCACGCATGCGCCGACGGCGGGTGGGGCGCCCTGCTTCCGCTGGTCACGCGGGAGGCGGCCAGGCTGCGCGGGAAAGGCCGGTGGGCGGGTGCTGCTGATTGCTGGCTGTTCCCGGGCACTCTCAGGCCCCAGCCGCCGCGCCGTGTCCCCGGACGCTCCGGGCCCGCTTGCGGGCGGGCCGGGTTAAGAATGAATGAATACTTATATCCTGCTCGCGGCCCACCGCTGCCTCCGCCTGGGCGGTGCCCGCTCCCCTCGCCCCGGCCGCGCCCTGGGCGGAGGCGGCCTGCTGCGCCCGGCGGGCCGGCCAGGATCGTTCTGCTCCCCAGCAGGCCCGGTGGCCCGAGCCCAGAGCTGCAGGCATTGTCCGCGACCTGATGCTGCGGCCATCCGTGCGCACGGGCCGACCCCACCCCGGCCTCGGGTTTCCATGGTTCGGGAGAGGCCCTGGCGTTAAATTCGCGGGCATCCAGTGACCGCCCTCCCCGCCGCCTGGCCTTTAAAAGGCAGGCAGACCACGTGTTAATAGGGCTCAGGAGATCCCGAAAGGGCAATGTGGAGAAAAGCAGTCACTAAAGAAGGACGCGATGCTGGCTTTATGTACTTCAACACTATTACGTAATCCTACAGAGAGGTTTTACATGTAGTATAATGCCATTTGCGCGCAAATATGTGTATGTGTGTATGTACACTCACATATATACATACACACATATTTTTTTTTCTTGTTTTCCAAAAGTAATTGAAGCAAAAATTTACACTTGCCACTGTGCGCTTCTGGGTGGAAGAGTACCAGAGGCACCCTGCCACACAAGTCATGGAAAATAGGTCAAGCCAGGAGCTCTAGTACCCATCCTGTTACATGGTGCTCCCAGGTGGCTGGTTTGTTAGCTGCACGCGTCCCTTACTGGCCCAAGCAGAATTTGCAAAGGTCGTCATCATAGAGGTAAGAGAAACAGGAAAGCACTCAATGAGATAGGCATAGGGGATGTTGCCAGCACTACCATCCAGGCGTCTGTGAGCCTGGACATCATGGCTTGGCAGTTTACGTAGATACTTGCCTTTGCAAAGTGGATTGCTAACCTATGCTTAACTTGCATTTTATCAGAATTGCAGCCACTGAGTATATGCAGGACCCTGAGCCCAATCCCCTGCACCAAAACAAAAGCAAAAACCCCCATCTAAACACAGGTTTGTGCAGACTTGGAAAAAAAGGTGCAAAAGTAGTAGAAGGAATTTCAGCTTATCCTTCTGATTTCCCCTAATGTTAGAATGACTTGATGTTTTCATTTGTCTTTACCATTCCTGCTCTTCTTGAAATATATGTATATAGGTAGGATTTTAAAAAATCATGTCTGTGTATGTATATGTATGATTTTTCTTCTGAAATATTTTACAGTGCAGAATGCCCCTTAGTGTGTATTTCTTAAAACCAAGAACATTCTGCTACATAGCCATGTGCATTAATAAAAATATTTTTTTAAAGAAATCAGAAGATGGACATTGTTGTAACTGTTATCTAATGGGCAGACCTAACTTGCCAGTAGTCTCACTTTTATCTGGTCCTGGATCCAACCCAGGCTACCTGTTCCTTTTAATTGTCAGGTCCCCTTAGTTTCTTTCTATCTGGAACCGTCTTTCATGATCTTGACACTTGGGTGGAGTATGGGGTGGGCCCATTCTTCTGAGGAATACCTTCACTACAGCTTGGATCTGGAGTGTCCTCCAAAGGTCATGCGTTAAAGGCTCGGTCCTTGGTGTTATGGGAGACAGTGCAAGCTTTAAGAGGGAGAGCCTAGTTAGTGGGTGTTAGGTCATTGGGGGGCACCCTTGAAGAGATTAGTGGGACTCCAGCCCCTTTTCCTTTTTCAGTTTTGCTTCCTGGCCATGAAGTTAATGGGTTTTATTAAAAATACTGAGGTGCCATAAGAAATTGGGCATGAGCTGGAAAGTGGGTGGGCAAGGCATTTACTCCTGTCAAAAGGTGTTTGAGGGGAACCTGGCTAGTAAGCATGTCTGGGTGGCCATATCCTGATTGGGGAACTCAGTGATAAAATTAGCGACTAGCTAATTTTAAAACTGGGGCGGGAAAGGGGATTAGATCCATTAAGGCTCTATTCTGAAAATGGACCACTGGGCTTTGTGTCTCCCACACTTCGCTTCACCGTGCATTCTCCAGGACGTGCAGCCTCACCACAGGCTCAGAGCAGGGGGCAGCAGATCATAGGCTGAAAGCTCCAAACAGCCTGCCGAAATAAACCTGTCCCTTTCTGAGCGGTCACCTCAGGCTTTGTTGTCACAGAAGGAAGCTTACCAACACAGGGCCTCCATTGGGATTTTCTGATGTCCCCGTGGTTAGATTTGGCTTGTACGGCTTGGTTGGAGACACCACAAGTGTGATGTGGGCCCTTCTTGGCACATCTCAGCAGGCACAGAGCAATCTTTTAAAACCTATCAGGCCACCCTACGTGCCTCCTATAACTGGGCCATAGTTGAGGTTTTCTTGCTTTGGGTGACCTGGCTTGGGCTGGCCTCTGCTGGTCCACCCCCTGGACTCCCACGAAGACCTTGACCTTTCAGAATCTCACCCTAGCCAAGTTTGCCTTTGCTGCTTGGTCTTTGCACCTCAGGGTCCCTGTCTGAAAGCTCTTGCTTTCAAAAAACCTTTCTCACCCCCTAGCTCCTTGGACAGCCCACCCTGACCTCCTAATCTCCCCCACCCCCAGGCATTCCCCATGTCACTGCTTCATTTATTTTCCCCACAGCACCTGAAAACATCTCATTTAATTATTTACAGGCTTGTCATTTACTTTCCCACACTAGGACAAATGAAGACCCTATTTGTCATGACATTCAAAGTACCCAGCACAGTACCTGACACAAATATCTGTTGAATTACTAAGCACATTACTCTTAACCCTTTCTGAATACAGAAAGAATAACCAGAAACAGCAACAATATTTATATTCTAATAAAAATAATGTGATTTAAATATACAAGCTTTTAGAATTTTTATTTTGCTATTACATTCCTAAGTCTAATCATTAAACAAACATCTACCAAATATAGGGCCCGGCTTTTGTTTATGTAGTTCCCATAAGCCTTGTTGACTTTACAACCAATAAGGAAGCCATCCTTCCTCCTCCTCTTCTCTTTCCTTGTTTTTTTCTGGTAGTGCTGAGAAGTAACTTAGCAAGATCCTACCTCAAAATAAAAGGGTACATGATGTAGTTCAATGGTAGAGTGTTCCTGGGATTAATCCCTATTACCCCCCAAAAAGCTGAGTCCCCCTGCATGTACGGTCTCGGGTGTGCTAGGCAGGTACTTTGCCACTGGGCTGCACCCCAGCCCCAAGGAAGCTGTTCTCAAAGATGCCATTATCTATTTCATCCATCAGTCCAGCTGATACATGTCTACAATCATCAAATTAGATATTTGCGGGCTGGTGTTGTAGCTCAGTGATAGAGAGCTTGTGTTGCATGAGTGAGGCACTGGGTTCTAGCCTCAGCACCATACAAAAATAAGTAAATAAAGATACTGTGTCCATCTACAACTAAAAAAATTTTAAATTAGATATTTGCTCATCATTAAATTTTCTTTTCTTTATTTCTATTTTTTTTTTTTTCTGGTGTTGTTGGGAATTTAACCCCAGGCCTTGCATATGCAAGGTGAGTACTCTACTAACTGAGCTACATCCCCAGCCCTTCATCATTACATTTTTTATAAGGGGAGCACATGGCTGAACAGAATACATGACTTCTTAGCATTAACACAGAATTTGTTTTCCCAAGAGGAAAATGGAAGCCAGGGCCCAGATGCATTCCTGTGGTCCAGCAAGAGGTTGAGGCAAGGAAATGGCAAGTTCAAGACTAGCCTGTGCAACCTTGTCCCAAATTAAAAAATAAAAAGGACTGGGGATGTAGCTCAGTGGTAGAGTACCCCTGAGATCAGTCCCTCAAACAGAAGCTGAGGTTCTCTGCAAGTTGCAAGAACTGCACCTACCTGTCAGCCAGGTGAGTGCTTCTCAGAAGCAGAGCTTCTGGTCTCGCCCCAGCAATACCTTCCTTGCCATTCCATGGCACCTGGACCCAGCAAGCCCTCATTTGTTCCTGACCCAGGTCTGAAGTGTTTTATTACTGTTTCATGCTGTTACCTTCCCCGCCCCCCCCCCCCCCCGCTCATTTTGCAGTGCTAGGCAAGTGTTCTGTCACTAAGCTGAGGCCCATCTCTTCAAGCCATTAACTTCTGCAATTTGTTTTACAGTGATAGTTAACTAACAACAAAAAATATGGATGATCTCACATAAAAACCTAGGCATCTGGTTTACTTTGAAAACCCTAAGATTGGGAGACATTGGCCCCATTTCTTTTTTTTTTTTAAAGAGAGAGGAGAGAGAGAGAGAGAGAGAGGGGAGGGAGAGAGAGAGAGAGAGAGAGAATTTTTTTTTTTTAATGTTTATTTTTTAGTTATTGGCGGACATAACATCTTTGTATGTGGTGCTGAGGATCAAACCCGGGCCGCACGCATGCCAGGCGAGCGCGCTACCACTTGAGCCACATCCCCAGCCCCTTGGCCCATTTCTTGTGTGGCTACAGCCATTTGCCCGTGGAAAGCCAATGTCTCTCAAGGATGAAGCAAGCACTCAGTGGCCTCAGGCCTGGGGCCTTCACACCCCTCAGCCGGCAGTGCCACTGACACACAGCTGCTCTGCTCCCTCCCTCACCTGCCTGAGTTCTCCAGCTCCAGTGCAGTGAGCTGCAGGGGTGGTGATGAAGGAATGCACCACCTGGGGCTTACGGAGCATCTATGTGGTGCCCACTGTGTACTCAGCACTCTCCAGGACTGGGGCAGTGAATAGCCAGGAGATGAATGCGATGAGTCAGCAGTACAGGGCTGGCCTCCTGCATCTCTGGTTGTGTGCAGCCGTGGATTCAACAAAGAGCAGATGGAAAGTATCAGGGAAATACAGTGCATCTTTATTGAACATGTTCAGCTTTTTTCTGTCTTTCTTCTCCAAACAATACACTACTTGCATTGCATGTGCATCGTGTAAGCATTACAAGTGATGGGGAAGTGCCACACACCTGCAGCTTCACTGCCTGTGGGGGTCCTGGAGCCCATCCCATGGGCACTGAGGGACGACTGCAGGAGAGCCAGTGGTGACTGCTCAGACGGAGGAAACAGCAGTGGAAGGGACACAGAGTGTCGGAGAAAGAAGGTGGTGTGCGAGTCGGGTGACCAGCGGCCCTCCCTAGGGAAGGAGCCAGGGGGAGGGGGAGGACTCCAGGAAGCGGCTGGGGTGCAGGAATGCACCTGTGCCTTGGCTTCCATTTTCCTTTTTTCCTGATAATCCGGGATGGCGAACATCCAGCAGCTGGGAGGGCTGAGCTCAGAGGTCAGGAGCTGCTCACTTTCTGTGAGCCCCTGCTGTGGTCTGTGTGGGTGTCCCAGGTCCTACCCTGAAGTCTCACCCCGAGGTGATGCACCAGGAGGCTGGCTTCCAGAGGCCACTAGGTCATGGGTGGAGCCTCATGTCTGGGACCAGGTCCTTCAGGAGTCCCCAGAGAGTTCTCTCCCTTCCACCATGTGAGGGCTCAGAGAAGCGCCGCCTGTGAACCAGGTGGCAGCTTGTCCCTGACGCCAGATCCGGGCACCTTGCTCCTGGACTCCCTGCTTCTAGAGCTGAGAGAGCTGTCTCTGCTGTCCATACACCACCCTGTCTACAGTAAAGGCCATCTCAGCCGGAACAGACCCACAATCTCCCAAACTGGGAGTGCCCACTGCTGTTTAGCAAGAGGAACTTCAGCCACGGGGCATTGGCAGGCCACTACAGCACAGTCAGTTTCTACAAAAGAAACCTTCATTCTGTGTCCCAAGCCACCTTAGGAGAACCTGGTCCAGGGAAGCAGTAGAAAACACTAAGGACTCAGGAGCCTGAGGCAGGAGGATGGCCGGTCTGAGGTCCACCTTAGCAACCTGTCTCAAACAATGAAAAGGGCTGGGGATGTAGCTTAGTGGCAGAGCACTCCTGGGTTCAGTTTCCAGTAATGAAAAAAAAAAAAAGTAGGTATATGTACTTTTTCAGTTTCAAAAAAACTCTACCTATCTAGTGGTACTGGGACCTGAGCGCAGGGTGCTTTACCACTGAGCTATATTGCTAGCCCTTTTAATTTTAAATTTAGAGATAGGGTCTTGCTAAGTTACCCAGGCTGGCCTCAAACGTATGATCCTCCTGCCTCAGACTCCCAAGCAACTGGATTACAGGCTATGCACCATAGTGCCTGGCTTGTGGTACATTTAGTTTTTATTTTTTAGTATTGGGGATTGAACCCAGGGGTGCTTTACCATTGAGCTACATACCAGCCCTTTTAAGATTTTGAGACACTGTCAATTTATTAAATTGCCCAGGTTGACCTTGAATCTGCAATCCTCCCACCTCAGCCTCCCAAAATGCTGGGATTACAGGCGTGTGCCAGTGTGTCTGGCTTTAGGTACATTTTAAATGCTTGCTTTTAACAAATGAACGCTTATGAGACTTGCCAACAGCCAATGAATGTAACGTTACTATTCTATTTATAAGGTAACGACAGGGTAGACATGGCTTCCTAGGGCTGCTGTAAGAAAATACCACAAGCTGGGTGCCTGAAAATAAAAGAAATTTGCTTTTTCATAATCAAGGCATGGGTAGGACCATGCCCTCCCTGACAGCCCCTAGGGAGTGTGTCCCCTGCTGCTCATAGCTTCTGGCCTTGCTGGCCATCTTCCATGGCCCTGAGCAGTAGGCTACTGGCTTTGGTCAGTTTCGGCTCCTGTATGTCCTGCATCCTCTCCTCCATGAGTCTGTCCCCTTTCCTCCTGAGGACACCAGTTACAGCAGCAGAACCTCTCCTAAAGACCCCATCTTACCTTGATCTCCTGCAAAGACCTTTTACAAAAGATGTCAGTTTTGCCAGGTACCCATGCTGACGAGATGAGCTGGGTTCAAAAGAGCTGGCTGCAACATTAAGATAAGAAAACAGTGAGAAATCACGCAACACAGGAGTTTTCACGTGGAGGGTAGGACGGCTCTGTGACCTTAAGGGGCAGCTTCCACACTGGAAGGCGCTGGAAAGAGAGTGCACTGGAATCTCTTTATTTTATAGGGGGACACACAAAGGAGATTCGATGGAATGTTCTTTACCAAATAAGGCAGGGGTTAAGGTTTTAAAGGTGGAGTCTTGCTTCATGATGTCTTGTGGTCAGCAGACTGATTGACATCTTGGCAAGTCACACCATCTCAGGTGCTGTGTGGAGCAGCACACATAGTGAGAGGAGAGGGGCACTTACACCGCACAGCCCAATCAGTGTGCAATGCCAGACCTGTCCCCTCATATAGCTCCAATGTGCAAAGCTCACACACTCAGCTCATGGATGGCTTACGACAGGTCAGGTTCCTAGGAATGGTGGAGGGAATTTTGAAGATACAATTCAACCTCTAACAGGTTTATTAAAAATTACTCTTTTATATAATGGTCCAGAGCTGGGGCACAAGTTCAAGGTTCAAGGTTGCCCAACAGGGCTTTTACAGTTCCTGGAGTGAAACTGCTGGGTCAGAATGGACTGTATTTCCTGTTTTCTTCTCCCTGGAAGGTGGGAGAATGGTGTCACACTGTGGTTTAGCTTTTTTCCCTGATAATCAGGGATGTCTAGATTTTTTCTTCCCAACAGCCATTCTTGCCCAATAGGCATCTCCTTGGAAGTGAACTACTTTTAGCATTTCCAGCATCTTTCTCCTGGACAGCATCGTTGCTCTTAAGAGACAGACTTGGATTTGGGCAGTGATTCACAATCAGGCAGCACTAGAGCAGGAGCAGCAGGACTCAGTCCCGGAGTGCTGGGGGCACTTTCATAAGTGCTGGAGGAAGTGGCAAAGATTTCTGCTGGTGGAATTGGGATGTTCCTCGTGTCCCCAGTTAGAGCTGGCAGTCCCTGGAGGGCTGGTCCTATGCTTCCTACTTCTGTGCACATGGAGTTGAGCTTTGGTTTGCTTACAGAGGAGCCCAGGTAGAATGAGGACCTCCAGCTAATTTTTTAACAATGCTAACCCCAAAATCTTGGTGTGTGAACTGTACCCTGTCTCCTTTTCATTCACACAGTGACATGATGAATAACTCTCTTGACAATGGGACAACGGTTTGTGTGGCTGGCAGAAAAATGGATCTTGTGACATCCAGGCCCCAGTCCCTAGAACCTGTGAGCCTACCACTCACAGTGCCAGTGGGAATGTTCTGGATTATCTGAGCTGACTGATCACCAGAGTTCTCAAGCACTCAGGTCATTTCTGGCTGTGGTCAGGGAGAGGAATGTGAGGCCAGAGAATTGAGTGAGGCTGGGGCTACTGCACTGACCTTGGGGGAGGGGTGGCCTCTGGAGGCTAGATATGGAGGAAATGGAGTCTTTCCTGGAGCCTCAAGGAGCCAGCTCTGATTCCAGTCCAGTGAGCCTGGGCTAAACATCTGACCTTTCGGACCCAAACAGTAAATCTGTGTTGCCTTAAGTCACTAGGTTTGTGGCAATTTGTGACAGCAGCCATATAAAGCTAATACATTTACTGATATTATATTTTAAAAGCTATTTCCAGATAATATGTTAAGCCCTACCTTTAAAAGGGTAGCCCATTTCTACACTTCAAGTAATGATAAATTAAGCAAAGCTATCACATTCTCAAATGCCATAAAAGCTGATGCTCATTTAAATCTGCATCAATACAGGAGCTGGAGGCAGATTAACAATCAGCTAGCAAAACTTCTCATTCGTTATGGCTGTTAATCTGAATGGATTTAAATTATTTCCTTGTTATTTCATTTAGTGCAATAAAAATAAGTTAGAATCACAGGTGTTTCTTGTGGGAAGCCGTTCTCGCACGTGATTTGAGCTACCTCCCTGGCTGGGTGTGAGGCGCTTAGATAAGCTGTGTCAGAGTCTTCCCCACCCTTCCCCAGGTGCGAGGGCTTGTCAGTGTGGGGTGTGACTGACCACTGACCTGAAAACCAATCACTGACCCTGACCTTGGAATGCTGCCCCCTTTGACCTTCATTGGATGGAATTTTCCCCTGAATTTTTTTGTTCCCCAATAAAAAAGCTCACTCCCTGGCATGTTTCTCTCTTGCTGGCCTCTTGTGTAAACCTCGCTACGGCATCAGGTGGCTACAGGCAAGAGCTGGGAGAAGCCGTCTCTGAGCTGGGCAAACAAAAGGTAAATTGAGAGTCATGTGTCTTTAATTTGAACTCACTAGTTAACTTTTTATGTTTTGAACCTCTAGTATGAAGCTAGCGTGCTGGTCGTGTGGCTGAGTTTCTTTCTCTTTTATTGGTGACTGAACCCAGGGCCTTGAGAATGCTAAGCATGAGCTTAGCCACCGCCCATCATAGAACTGTCAAATAAGCAGAACCCTGCTGCTGACCAGAGGTGCCATCTTGGACAAGCTAGTGGACACCACTGGCTTGTTTTCCCACTGGTGATGTCAATAGGGCCTTCCCATGGGGAAGGTACCTCAGGGTCAGTACTCTCCAAAATGAAGCCATTAACACATCTGGCCAGTGTATGCACCCTGCAAACAAGGCACATGAGGCTGGGTAATTCCATAGCTCATTTTTTGGGGGGCAGGTTCTGGGGATTGCACCCAGGACTACTTTACCACTAAGCCACATCCCCAGCCCTTTTTATTTTTTTTAATTTTTTATTGTTGGTTGTTCAAAACATTACAAATTTCTTGATATATCATATTTCACACTTTGATTCAAGTGGGTCCTTTTTATTTATGTATTTTGAGACAGGGACTTGCTAAGTTGCTGAGGCTGACCTGGAACTCAGGATCCTCCTGCCTCAGCTTCCCAAGTCACTGAGATGACAGGCTGTTTTAAGTATTTAAGATAATTTGTGAACAAAACAGACAAAAATCCCTGTCCTTAAGTTCCAGGGACAAAGAAAACTGCATTTATTTGGGGCTAATTGAGATTGAAACCTGGGAAAACATGAATTCAAGCAGTCTTGAGATGTTCTCCAAGGTTTTACAAAGTGGCAGCTATCTTTACTGTTAACCCCAATAAGTTGGAAATTATATCACTGTTGGTCAGGAACTATGGTGCTGGCAGAAGTTAGGAAGTCCCTCTCTATCCTAATGTCTCTATAAATTATACCTTTCATGTTCTAAAATCTACACATTAAGAGATGTAATTATAAATGTATAAATATTATATGCACATCCTGATGGTTGTTTCTTGTGGAAATCCTGACAGAACTGCCACCCTAGATTTCTGGCAAACTTTGTGTTCTGCCTAGTGTCTTAAATGGAGACCTGGCTCACAGGGTGTGTAAGACATAAAGACATGAATACACTTAAAACTCCTAACACCCTGCCTGGTCTACCGTGAGTTCAACATGTGTTAGTGTCACTGCATGGATGCAGAAATGGGGGCTGAAGTTCAGAGATTGAATGACTGCAGCCACCCAATTGCTGGAAGGAGCCAGGGGCCCAGAGCCCAAGTGCTGAGCCCCTTGATTCCTGTGGACTCAGGACACTGAGATGGCCCTTGGATTGGTGGAATTTTGCATGGTAGGCTGCTACCTTAAGGGAAAGAGTCCCTTTGGGAAACAGCCACCTTTCCTGGAGTACTGTCTTCCATGCTCTTTAGTATTCCGTCTCCTGGAGGGAGGAGCCAAGAGTATTTGGTGCATTTTATGAAGCAAATTTGCCATCCCCTTTTTAGAAGATAGTCATTTCTTATAACTAGAGCCTTAAACTTACGTCCTTACAGTTTAAATGCTTAAAAAAACAAAACAAAACAAAACAAAAACACAGGCTGGGGGTATGACTCAGAGGTACAGCACTTGCCTAGCATGCAGGCGGCCCTGGGTCAGATTTCCAGCATTGCCCCAAATACATACACACACACACACACACACACACACACACACACACACACACACACAGTATTCTTACCTCCCTCTCTCCCATTTACAATTCCATTCCTGCTCTGGCTGGAAAGGGGTGTGTTCGGTTGTCAACTCAGTACTATAAAAACCGCTGCCTGCGTTATTCTATAATTTGGAATAATCAGTTGGGGGAAGGGGTCGGGGAAACCAGGCAGGGGCCAATACTTATTGGAGATTACAAGTCCCAGTGGCTGAAGCAAGGTCTGAAAGCGAAGAGCCTGGTCCACTGGAGGAGGACGCCTTCTGGTGGGGAACTCCAAGAGATGGTGAGGAGGGGAAAAGGGCATGGTGGTGGTGGGGGTAGGCTGCAGGGCCCAAGTTTGGGAATCTATGGGAATCGGAAGAGGAATTTGAAAGTGAGCCTGTGCATTATAAATTATTCTCTTCTGATCCTCTTAGAGGTACCTTAATAAAGACTGACATCATTTTAAATTTTTTGACTGTGGGGCACTTTTTCCTTGAAAGAGTCACAAACCCTGGGCACCCGGGCGCCCTGTTCAGCCTCGGGAACGTTCCCGGCTGGACGCGTTCTGTCGAGTTCACATTGGCATCAACGGCTCCCACTGAGAGGACTTTGCAGAGGACCCCCGCCGGAGCAGCGAAGGCTGCACTCCCAGACCTTCTAACCGCGCAGCACAACGACCCCAGGGCCTCCTTTGTCGTTTCCTGGTACATGAACTTACTTTCCATGGGGTGGAGGTGGCACGGTGTGACTTCTGCCGCCACCACGTGTTAAGGAGCTGCTCTTCCACGTAGGACCCACCTGGTCCCCGCCACTACTTTCACTCCCGGGGCCTCAGGCACTTCCGGTCGCAGGTGGTCATGTGACCCAGGTCTGGCCTATCACAGCCCACAGGCCCCTGACCTGTGATTGGTTCGGCGCTAGGCAAATGATCGGAGTTGATCCAATCAGAGTGCAGCTGGGGAGCGAGCCTGCGGCCGAGGGAGGCGCTCCCCCGAGAACGTCTGCTTGTCCGGGGGTCGGCGCTGGGGGCTCTCCGCTAGGTCGGCGGGACGCCGTCTGCATCGAGCCCGGTGACAGGGGAGTCAGGTCTTTCCCGCGTGCCTTTGGCGTCCAGGGATCTTTTCGGGAATGGGTCCGTCCGTGCAAACCGTATTGCGCCCACGTTCTGTGCTGGAGGGCGCTGGGCTGTGCGCAGGCTGACGCGCGTGACTGCGCCAGCGCGGCTTCTTCGGGCCTCGTTCTGAGCATCCCGGGTTGGTAGAGGTCTGATTTTTTCATCAGGTCTTAAAGTCAGTACCGAATCTAAAGGTGGCATTTAGGGCTGGGGATGTGGCTCCAGCGGTGGCGCGCTCGCCTGGCATGCGTGCGGTCCGGGTTCGATCCTCAGCACCACATACAAACAAAGATGTTGTGTCCGCCGAAAACTGAAAAATAAATATTAAAAATTCTCTCTCTCTCTCTCTCTCTCTCTCTCTCTCTCTCTTTAAAAAAAAAAATTTAAAAAAAAAGGTGGCATTTACCGGCTCACACAGGCAAGTCCCGGGATGTGCTGTATGCATCTCGAGCTCAAAGGAAGTGTCCTGAGAGCAGTGCTTTCTAAAGCCTCTCTCAGTTCTACTTCCTTCTGAAAAATTTGCATCCTCCCCCCCCACACACACACACCTCTAGAGGGCCCCAGGAACTAGAATTAGCCTACACTCCCAGACCTTCTAAAAATTTTGAGACAGGGTCTTGCTGAGTTGTCCAAGTTGGCGTCTAGCTTGAAATCTTCCTTTTTCTTTCTTCTTTTTTACATATAAACTTAGTGCTCAGACAAGTTCGTGCAGTTATTTCCATCTAATTTTGTAGCTTAGTCAAAATAGAGAATTTTTGTTAAACTCACTTTCATCAAATTATTGGTTTTGATTTAAGATGAACAAATTTCAAAGTAATAAAGAGGTAAGTCTGGCGCTAGGTGCACCCAAGTCCAAGTCACTACCATCTGTCTCCCAGTCCCTTTTTTTTTTTTTTTTGCACCAGGGATTGAACCCAGGATGCTTAATTACTGAACCACATCCTCAGCCCTTTATTTTGAGACAGGGTTTTGCAAAGTTACTTAGGGCCTCATTAAATTGCTGAGGTTAGCTTTGAATAGATACTCTCCTGCCTCAGCCTCCTATGTCGTTGGGATTAGCACCACCATGCCCCACCAGCCCAGTTCATTTTGTCTCTGCTTCCTTTACTCCCTGTTACTGACTGTTGTCTTCCCTTCAGAGTTCAACGTTGAAGCCAAATGTGCAATAAGGCCTTTAGGGAGGTCATTAAGGTTAAATGAAATCTGAGAGAGAGGCCCCATCTGCTATAATTGGTGCCTTTAGAAAGAGGAAGAAACCCTAGACCTTGCCCCACTCTCTGAGTGTGCAGGAAAGGCCATTGGAGGACACATCAGAAGTTCATCTCCTCTAGTCACCAGAAACTCAATTTGTTCACATTTTCACCATGGACTTGTAGCTTCCAGAACTTGAGAAAATAAATGTCTATTGCTTAAGCCACCCAGGCTATGCTACTATGTTATATTAGCCTGAGCTTATTAATACAATCCTCCATTAAAAATCAAGAACGATTACACTACTGAAGTGGCTCTGTACAGCCAGAGGAATGAGAGATTTTGCTCCATTTGTGTACAATACATCAAAATGCATTCTACTGTAAAATGAATAAATACATAAATTTTAAAAAATCCAAGAACAAAATCAACATAGCACCAAATTCCAAACTCCCATGTGTTATATGTATAGATTATTCTTTTCAAATATATTTTTATTTATTTTTTTGTTGGTACTGGGGATTGAACCCAAGACCCGGCACATGCTGGGCAAGTCCTCTACCAATGAACTACACTCCCAGCCTTTTTTTTTTTTTTAAGAGAGAGAATTTCAATATTTATTTTATTTTTTAGTTTTTTTGGCGGACACAACATCTTTGTTTATATGTGGTGCTGGGGATTGAACCCGGGCCGCACGCATGCCAGGCAAGCGTGCTACCGCTTAAGCCACATCCCCAGCCCAATCCCAGCCTTTTTTAATTTAATTTTTTGAGACAGTGTCTCCCCAAGTTGCCCAGGCTGGGCTCAAACTTTCTATTCTCTTGCCTCAGTATTGGGAGTAGCTGGGATTACAATTGTGAGCCACTGCACCAGGCTTGGTCCCTCCTCTTGGCCAACTAGATAATAACAACAAGATTTAGGGTGGGATCTTTTTCTTACCAAAGGACACCAGTCACCATAGCATATGCACTGGAGATTCAGTAGGAACTCTGAACACTGGCTCTGTTAAGCTTCCCTGGTTGGCAGTACCTTTTCTGTATCAAACAGTGAAAGTACACGGTCCTGATCCTACCAAGAGGGAACAATGGAACCCAGGCACGGGGTGTGGGGGCGTATTTCCCCGACTTCTATCCTATGCACTTTTTAAAAAACCAATATTTTAATTATAGTTATTAACACATTAATTGTAAAAATCAACGGGATTCACTGGGATATCTCCCCACATGCAAATGTCCTGTGTCCATCATGCCCATCCATCCTTCTTCTATTCTCAATCTCGCTGTCCTCCCTTTATTTACTTCTTCCCATGGCTGATGTTAATCTGCATCCTCTCCCAGTAAGCAGTGGTTAACTGTGAATACAGCAGTGAATTCGGAGTCCTGCCAGCGAATTATCAAAGCTGAGAGTGGTTTTGCAAATGCCCAGAACTTGCAGTTGGTGTCTGAAGTGAGGGTGGTCTTGAGGGGGCTGTTCCCTGTGTGTGGCTGACCTGTACTGAGCACCTTCCATGACCAGCGTAATTCAGGCACCTCTCAGTTCTCCACGCCACGCCCGTCTTCTTTTTCCACTTATTGGTCTGTATTCCTGTTTCTCCCACTGGGCGTGCACCCCAGGGCAGAGGTTGAGGTGCTTTACATATGATGAGACTAATCACCATACTCGGGCCCTTTAGGATTATGTGCTTTATTTTCTCTTGGCTTTTATTCACACCAGACTGGGTATGGTTCTGATACCACCAGTTATCCCTGACTAGGCCCAGGAATGCTCGGTGGGAGGGCCAAAAGATGGGAACCAGGTGGGCTGAAGGAGAAAGGGCAGTGTGGAGTATCCAAGGACACATTAACAACCTCATAGCTCCCTGTAGGGAGGGGAAATTCCTGGGACAGCTTACCTTGGCAACAGGTTGGAGCAGGGGCAGGTTCTTGATAAGATCACTCAGGGGAGTCTCTAACTTCCCAGACTCACTCAAAATTGGCCTCCTAGATCCGGCCTGACTCGATTTACCTATCTACACTGCCTGCCTGTCTAATTATGGCTGCATCCCCCCTCTAATTTTAGAAACTGCTTACTGCTGTAAGGAGAAGGGGCAACATTTGTTCTGGCTGCTTCAAAGCCAGAGGGGGTGACGTGAGGGGGCACGACATGAGGGGGCAAGCAGCTTTGGAGTTCGCTTTTAGAAGTCAGGTTGGATTGAAGTCTGGTTGGGGAAGAACCGGTTGTAAAATCATCTGGGGATGGGTGCTTGTATGAGAGAAACAAAACCATGAGTACTGAATAATGTTGCAGCAGCTGGAACACATCACTGTATAATATTAGTCCTCTCACCAGGAAGAGTGAGGACTGAGAAGTTGTCCCCTAACAAAGTTGGAGAGGACAAGGCCTTTATTTAGTAATGTAGATCTTTAACATCCCCAGTTATCAGGAATGTAAACACAACATTTAACTTTTAATGTTACAGATGTTCATCCCCATAAGATGTAGTTAAATACTTTAATGTCATCTGGTCTTGTAAAATCCTGCTACTGTTATGACCTCTGTGTCTAGTAGAGAACCCCTTAATGCTGTTACTTAGGGTGGGATAATCATACTAGCAAACACCAAGCCTACCTGTGTAGGTGAGGAATATCTGTAGGCCTTAAACTAAAAACTACTCTGGCAGTTCCTTTTGATAGTGAGTTTCTTTTGATAGTTAGCAGGCATTCCTGTCCAAGAACCTCTCTTTTGTAGCCTTCAGTCTTACTTATTTTGGGGGCTAACACAAGGTGTATACCTTAAATTTCTTCTTCTTCTTCTTCTTCTTCTTCTTCTTCTTCTTCTTATTATTATTATTATTATTATTATTATTATTATTTTAAATGCCCAGGAATGGCTGTGTTTCAGTTTTAACTATTTTTGCTAGGTGTTTAAAATGAAGCAGTCAAACTGACTTTTGTTTCTATCTATTGTTAACAGTTGGCTGAGTTTCCATGGGAGTCACTCCTGGGGGAACTTGAGAGCAGCTTCTCAGTTCTGCTAGTGCAATTTGTGCTAGGATGGGTCCAGGTCTTGCTTGACCATGTGGCTTCACTTGGAAGCATCAGGGATGTCTCCCTTCTCCAATGACCCTCCTGTTCATAGCAAGTGCACTGATTGGCTTTCTGTTATCCAGGGGTCTCATTAATCTCCCTGATCGGGAGGTTATGTGGCCCAGAGTTGCAAAGCTCTTTAGAGAAGTTTCCTGCTCCCTGGATTTAGGCTGACTCAGAGGGCAAGAGCCAAATATTGGTTTTCTTGGCCCTTTTAATTTAATTTTAATTTTTATCTTGATCTTAGACATCTAGCAAATAAATTAAGAGTATTGGGCTTTAATGTCTATAACTTTACAATTATTTACCTTTTTTATTAATTGGGGTCTGCATTATCCTATCTGTCCTGTAGGTGAAGGCTTATTATCTTAAATTAACCCAGGTTGTGTGTTCTTACAGCAATACCTCTTGCAAAAAATTAATAGGCAATCTTTAGACCATTTATAAGGAAAAAAAAAACAAAATAAAATTAACAAGAGTAAAAACATATTTTGTTTGTGTAATAGCTACTTTGAATTTTGGCTGAGTTACATATTGTATCCCCTGTTTGAGATCCTAGTAATCTTCAGAAAAATCAATCTTTTGAACACAACTTTAAATGAACTGAAATCTGGCCCACTGTGGAGTCATTCTGATGTAGTAAGATGGGATGCAGAACTTTATCTCAGGTAAGGCAGGACTCTTCATAACTCTTTATAAATCTTAAGTGTTCTAGTTCTGAAGCTGATCTTTGCTTCTTAAATATCATTTTATAAAGTTTATATATAATTGCTCAAGGTCATGAGAATATTATCTAACACAATATGATATTACATTTAAAACATGAATTAAAGAAAGGCTGAGAGTTTTTAACCTTTTGTGGAAAAGTAGCAAAATGTTTGTGTTTTACAATATTAACCTTTACATAGATTAGGCTCTCATTAACTTAAAAATACATTTAAATTGTACCCCAGGGTAAAAAATAAATTTATATATCTTATTGATAACAGGCCCTGTTATAGGATAATAAATGATATAAATAAATCTCCAATGTTATTCTTGTAAGCTTAAAATTACCATACAACTTTATTTTGGAGAACACCAGTTTTATATAATGCTCTTTTAAAGCTTCTTATTGAGCAGGTCCATTATCTTGTGTGAGCATTCCTAGGGCCTCACTGACAAATTGGTTAAATTTTGCTCTATAGTAAGTTGAGAACAGGGGCTCAAATTAAGGCCCCGTTTAATGTATTAAAGGCTTCCAAAACCTGTTCATAACTCAGAGGGGGAGTAAACTTTTTGGTAAATTTATCGTTTAAAAGTAGGTGGCCCTTTATGGATTCAGGATTTAGGGTGGTGTTTTTTATTGTCTCCCTGAGTTTCTTATGAAAATAGCAGGGCTTTCCTGGGGTCCCTGAGTAATTTCAGAGACCTTGGAATAGTTAATGGGCTTTTGCTTGATCGTCCTGATGGCTTCCAGGACCAACATTTGGAAATGTGTATTCTTCTAAGCATCCTGTTCATCATTTTGGTCCCAGTCAGGATTGTTTCTGGGAATCACCTGCGCGCTAGATGAATAATTAGGTTTGTTTCTAGTTTGTGATGCTGGGGCATGGGCAAAATGTAGGTCCATCTCCAGATTTTTTAGCTACTTGCTTTAGGGCGGACTCCTTCTTATTAGAGGCTAAAGTTTGGCTAAGTAATAATATAATATCTTTCCAGGTGAGGTCAAGCACCTGGCATAAGTTTAGAAACATCCTAATATATTTATTTAGATCTTCTGACAATTTCCCTGAATTCTTTCTTATTTGTTTTAAGTTGGGGGGGGGGTCCTCTTGATTTCTTTTCCTCAATAGATGATTCCTTAAGGCCTTCTCTCCTGGTAGACATTGAGGTTAGTTTGACAACACATGAAAACGCAGCACTTTTCCTGATCATTTGTGATTTCCCAGTGTGTTGACTAGTGGTCAATCTACACACTGACTTGAGAGAGAAGCCCCCACCTGAGTGATGGAAAAATTCAAGTTTTCTCCCTCATCAGAGAAAACTCTTTATCCACTGTATTAGGGACGTCTCCCTAAACTTGAGCTTCCTTACCGTCCAGAAAATCCGTCTCTCCTCACCTGGCTTTGCCAAAGTTATTTCTGGCTTCCTTTGACAAAGTGCTAGCTAGGGTCCCTGTTTGCCCTGTGCCAGAGACCCTGGGAGGATTCAGACTTAAGGGCTTTCCACCCTGCCACCATAACTCCTGATTATGAAAAACCCATGAAAAAACAGGATAATTGTATATGTCTTAACCTTTTGTGCCTAACTGTTGTCCTGTAGACTAAAGGAATCTCCTGATGGTAAGGGGAACTCTATTGGTTTTAACAATATAACACCACTTTCCAGAGGAATTTATGGGAGGAGTTGGTTGAAATAGAATGCCTCGCTCTTGCAGCATTTTTTTAAAAAGTACAGTAAGTGCATCTGAGCACAGGAACAGTAATGGGAGATTTTAAACTGGCTTGTGAAGGCTAACTATGCGAACAAAAGGAACTAGATGTTATCTCACTAATCATCTTACACCTTTCCCTCAGTCCTACAATATTAATTGCTAGTGTTTCTGATTGGTAAAAGGAAGGGAGCCTCCAGGAGGGCATGGATGCAGGGATGGGGAGTGTTGTGTGGCCCGCATGGAGCAAACAAGAAATTGGGGCTTTCCCTTAATGCCATTCATCTACCCATTACCTTAGATACCCTTTAGGGTAGTTGGGAGGAGTTTTCAGAGAAGGAACCTTAGGATTTTCACCTGAGTGTAGCCCAAGCCAGAAATTCCGCAGTTGTTTCAAACTCCTTCCTCCACCTCCATGCATCCAAGGCATATCAGGACTAGGGACACTGTGCACTCACGCCAATTGCTCTCCAGGCCTGGACAGAAGAGTAGGAAGTGGCTTCAGCAGAACCCAACATGCCTGCTCTGTATTGAACAGGTGATTGACAGCTGCCTAGGCTAGGAAAACTTTCACCTGAGTCTTGAAGAATGGCAGCTGCACTAATGCATTTAAATAGCCAACGGGTCTTCCAAAATGAAAGAAGAAAGATGCACCTCAAACAAATGTGGGGTGCATGGAGAGGAGCTTACCTCTGTGTAGACCTTGGTGGAACCTCCAAAAATGATACCACTGCTTATCAGTGACGAGTCTTGCTTCCCCACATGTTGAAGTTTGAACGTTAGAGAAGCACACCGAGGCAAGCATATGAAGCAGGGTTTATTTAAAAAGGGGTAACGGAGACTTCTCTTGCAAGGGAGAAGGGGGCCATAGCTGGTGTCCCAAGAGGGGAGGTGTTCTGCCCTTTTTATATGTCCTAGGCTTTCTTTGTTCTCCTGCCTTTTCCCTCTTATCTTTCAACTTCCTGCGGACATGACTAGGCCCAGGAATGCTGGGTGGGGTGGCCAAAAGGTGGGAAAAGGTGTGCTGAAGGGGGAAGGGCAGGATGGAGCAGCCAAGGACACATCAACAACCTTATAGCTCCCTGTAAAGAGGGGAAATTCCTGGGACAGGTTACCTTGGCAACAGGTTGGAGCAGGGGCAGGTTCTTGATAAGATCCCTCAGGGGGCAGTCTCTAACTTCCCAGACTCACTCAAAATTGGCCTCCTAGATCCGACCTGACTCGATTTACCTATCTACACTGGCTGCCTATCTAATTCTGGCTTCAGTTCCTTCAAGAGAAGGTTAGCATTATCCAAATCTGCACCCAGTTTATTCTGATAGCTTTGTAAGGTTGTCAAAACTCAGGGAATGGCGAATTTTAAAATAAATAACATGCATGTGTAAGTTCAGAAATCAATCTCGCCAGAATAGCACTAACAAGCCCCGCCCCTCCACTCTGACCCCGCCCCTCAGCCCCGCCCATGGACTCCTGCAGGAGCCTCCGCTGGGAGGGGGCCGCAGTGCGCATGCGCACAGCGCCCCGGCGCGGTTGCCGTGGCAGCGCCGCCCGAGGAAGGGCGGCGGCGCCAGGCCGGGACCGTGGCTGGCTGAGGCAGCGACGTTGCCACCCGAGAGCCCGTGGCCTGGCCGGAGGCGGTACCGGGCAGGCTTGAGTCGCGGAGTGCTCCTCCCGGCCGACGGGGATGCGGGACCGGCTTCCGGACCTGACGGCGGTGAGCGCCGAGCGGGTAGCGGTCCGGTCTGGCGGGGCGGGGCTCCGGGCGGGGTCTGGGACCCAGCTGGCCGGGCGCGGCTCCGGGCGGGTCCTGAGGTCCGGGACCAGCTGGCAGGGCGGGGGCTCCTGGCGTTCTGGGCTCCTGAGGTCCGTGGCAGCTGGGCGGGGGTTCCCGGCGGGTCCTAAGGTGGGGGCAGCTGGGGCGAGGGCTTTCGGCGGGTCCTGAGGTCGGGGGCAGCTGGGGAGGGGGCTCCAGGCAGGCTGGGGCTCCAGGCGGTGGTTCCAAGATATGGGATTTTAGAGTTGGGGGCATTGCTGGGATTTGTGTCCGCATGGCATGCTGGAGCTCCTGGTAGGAACTCTGGGCTCGGACTACTGGGGTGGGGCTCACAGCATCCTCCTGCTCTGGTGCTTTGGGAAGGCTAGACTTACTCGCGGGGTTGGGTCCTCTGGGAAGGGGCTTCCGGGGCTGCAGATCTGAGGTGGATCCCACAGGGAGTTATCTTTGCTGGTTTTGGTGTGCTCCTTCGGGCTATTGGGGGCCGAGTTTACTCTCGTGAGCCAAGGTCTTGGTGACCCCTCAACAGGTGGGATTCAGGGTGGGGTGACCCAGAGTCTCAGGGAAGGGGCTGGGACCCAGCATGACCCCCTGCGCGGCTGGGGCTGTACTTCCTGGACAGAAGACTGCTTGGAGCTCAACCATTACATGGCTTGGCTGGTTCTTTCCATACTTACCACAAACAGAAAGGCCTGGCCAACTGTCCTGCCATGTGAACCCTGGTGCCTCACTGAGCTGGATGGTGGTTGGGTAGGGCCAGCCTGTAGTTGCATCTTGTATTTTCTGTTTCCCTAGTAAATAGTGCACCTGGGGAAGGAGGCTGTGGGTGCTGAAGCTTTCTTAACATACCTGGTAGAGTGCATAGTGAGTGACCAAATGACCATTGACTTTAGCAAGAGGAAAGTAGCACAGTTGAAAATGGAAAAAGATTTTAAAATACTTTTAAATGACACATGGTATTGTACCTATTTATGGGGTGTAGTGTGACATTTCAATACATATGTGCAAAATGTAATGTTTAGATCAATGCAATTGACATATCTATCACTTAAGATATTATCATTTCTTTGTGCTGTGAACATTCAAAATCCTTTGTAGTAGCTATTTGGAAAAGTACAGTTATTGTTGTGAACTGCAGTTATCCTGCTGTGCTCTAGAGCATGAGAAGTCATTCCTTCTATCCAGCTGCACCCTGGACCCATTAACAATATTTCTCCATCAGTTCCTCATTCACACCCTTCCTTCCAGGCTCTTATGACCACAGTTCTATTCTCTACTACCTTGAAATCAATCTTTTAGCTTTCACATATGAGTGAGGACACACAGTGTTTGTCTTTCTGTGCCTGGCTTATTTCACTTACCAAAATGACCCAGTTTCATCCATGTGTCTGCAAATGACAGAATTTAATTTATTTTACTGGTTGAATTATATTAAAAGTGGAGCTATTTTTAATGCATTCATATGTGTATAGGTGACAATGCTGTGAATGAGATGGGGACAGCAAAATTATGGTGGAAGTTTAATAGATGTTCAAGGTGAAACATTTTAGCCAACATAAATAGTTATGATTTTTTTCCCCCTCTTAAAAATGCAAGTACTAATTCATGCTGGGTATTCATTGTCTTGCTTTTCCTGTACACAAATGTAACCTGTGTTCTCTGAATGGCTGCATAGAACAGGGTCTGAGGCCCACTGCTCTGAAGCACCTGTTGCCTGTGGTACATTAAGCTTGCTTCTGGAATGGGACTAGGTCAGTGTTTAGTGTTGTAGTTGGGAGGAGAGAGGACAGACGTGGGAGTCATTGTCAGTTCTGTGAGTCCTGTAAGGACTCTGAGGAGAGCACCTGGTCCTCAGGATCATGGGGTCGGTGCCTCATACTCTTCCTCAAAGCTTTCTTCATTATGGCTTTTCTTTCTTCCCCTTTGTTAATGGTCAGCTAACCATCTTGATGGTGGTCTGATTGTTTTTAGTGGTGCTGGGTACTGAACCCATGGCCTTATGCATGCAAAGCAAGCACTCTAACAACTGAGCTATATGCCCAGCCCCAGTTGCCACCTCTTAATACCCTGGCTGAACCATTGGTAGTAAGAACATGTCAATTAGCATTGCTCTAAACTGTAGACCTAGAAGGGAAGTAAGTCACTGTAGGCGAAGGGACACAGCAGTCAGCAGCCTAGTAGAAGCTTCTGCTGTGGACTTGGCTGGTCTTGGATAAATAATTTTTAGCCTCTCATTGCTTGAGCTTTCCTGTATGTCAAAGGGGATGGTAATGTCTTTTCTTGATATCTTGTGGAGGAAGTTTTCACAAAACTATCTAACATGTGAAGCTCTAGGAGAAGGTGGGAAGGGAAGTACTATGTAGTTATAAGTGCCACTAATACTTAGTTAGGTTTTTTGTTTTCAGGAAGTTATAAAAAGCAAACTTCTTCTTAGCATAAAATAGCCAAAATTGAATTTAATATGCTTTAGATATGAAGAGCAATATTAAAAAATCTACCTAGAGCCACCAGATGTAAGTTTAATTTTTTTTTCCCAGACAGTATGCCTTTCTCAAGTATTTTGGGAGTAGCTGAGCTGGGTGTGGTGGCACATGCCTATAATCTCAGCAGTTTAGGAGCCTGAGGCAGGAGGATTACAGGTTTGAAGCCAGCCTCAGCAAATTAGTAAGGCCCTAAGCAACTTAGTGAGACCTCATTTCAAAATAAAAAAAATATATATATAAAGGGCTGGGGATGTAGATCAGTGGTAAAACATCACTAGGTTCAATTCCCAGTATCGAAAAGAAAAGAAAAAATTGGGCGGTAGCTGCATGTATGACCACAGCCGTGTTTCTAAATGGCTGGTGGTGTTCACAGGTAAAGTTTTGTTTTTAATTTTGGTAGTTAAAATGGATCATCTATAAGAACAAAGTATTTGAAATGCCTTCAAAAGCTTTTTTAGCTTAATGTTACTTCTTTCTGAGAAGGCGCAACTACTTGGAAAGGACTTATAAGTTAATTTGTCCAAAGTAATTTTATTGACAGATTTTGCATTAACAGATTTAGTTCCTCCCAAGCAGTGATTCAGGCATTGAGCCATCAATCATTTGGGAACAGAAAGCTTAAGTTAGTGTCTAAGATCTGGACTCTAAATCCAGAGCAAAAGTATTTCTGATTTGCAATACATAAAATTAAGTTCATCTAACAGATAGCTTTGGGTGATAGGTTTCTCCCAGGTAGTGTACTAGGTGCAGAGATGTAAAGCTGAATTGAGTGCATGATGTAGGGAAAGGAAGTCATGGGGAGGAAGAGTGAAGAAGGCATGCCGGAACACACTTCAGGATGTGAGTAAATAAAAATGGAACGGCCTGTCTGTAAGTAACAGCTCCAACATGTACTGATTGCTTTTTTATAAGAAGTTAATGCAAACAGGCGTATCTCTTATAGTGAAGCGTAGGGACACTACACATTTTAACTGTGGGACGTGTTTGCATGATGATAAACAGTAGCTGGGTGGTATTCATTAATAGATCCAAGAGTAATGAGCAAGTTATTTTTCACCTTGTGATCAATATGATGAATTGCAAATATAATTTTTTAGAGGTCAGGAAACACTGCTCAGACATTTTTAGTTATTTTGTGAGAGCTCAGATTTGTACATGTAGTACAGAATGGTGTACAATAAAGACTCAGATACCAGTTAATAAAGTATGAATAGGAAAGACAGTGTAATGGATCTGATGTAACTTTCCTATGTACACATGTGAATACACAGTGAACCTCACCATCATATTACGACCATAAGACTGGGGTCCTAATTAGAATAAAATGTACTCCATTGCTTAAATATGTCAAAATATATTATAAAGTAGGAACATTTAAAAGTTTTCACTGGAATTTAAAATACTAGGAATATCATAGCATTTATAATTTTATATGTGAAAATATTTGTGATTTTATATCTGTATATGGTAAGTGTAAAATTTCATAATTTATTCAGTCCTGCTAAATGTTTGTATTTTGTTTATTTTTCATAAAAACATTCTCCACAGTGCATCTCTAGTTTCTCTGTTCTTGGTTATAATAAAATGATATGTTTATATATAAATATGTTCTTTCTTTAAGATAGCAGAACCTGTACTTTCCCAAAGATTAATTAACTTCAGTTATATTCAGAACTGGAGGAGTAGGCCTTCTAGGAGGTCCCTGGTCCCGTGGCACAGGGCATAGGGTGTTGCTGTGGTCCTGGCACTCGCCGCTCCTCTCTGCCTGTGTCTGCACTGCTGCCTAAGTGCTCCCTGCTTTGGGCCTGCCCCATACTTCTCCTGGTCTCAGCTCAGGCAACACCACCTGGAAGTCTTCCAGTCTTCCCTTCCTCTGTCCCAGAGCTGGCCACCCTCTTGTCTTGGAGTATTCTGGATGCAAATGCAGTCAGCTTTTCTCCCAGGACACTTCCAAGATTGGATCTCTTGAGAGCACACTTTGTGCTCAGAGGCATCCGATTTCTCAGGGTGCCTGTTGTAGAGCACCTGCTGGGTACTTGTGGAATCATTGTGTTTCCATATAAAGGTGCCCCTGGGTACGGGACACTTAGGTGCAGTAGAATCTGCTGTCGGTGAGGTTCTTCCCCTTGCCAGGGACCGAAAGCCAGAGCTGACACAGAGAAGGCAGAGTTGTTCAAAGGTGGAATGGTGCCTCCCAGACCTTGAGGGCAGCCCCCAGGGATGGAGCTAGGTGAAGAACGAGGCTGTCCCTCACTGTGTGACTCACTTAGTGTTTGTCCCTGGGTCTGTTCCTTGGTTTCTCTCTGTCCTTTTTGTGCTTTCTCCACTCTCCACCCCTCATCCTCTTAACTCTGCATTCACTCATTCATTCCCCTGACCCTCACTGAGTGGCTGCCACATGCCAGGCACTGTTAGGCAGGCATGAGTCGGGACCAAGCAGATGAAATTCTTCACACC